ATGTAAGCATAAGTACCTGAATCCAGCTCCCCACATGTAAAAGCCATGATGTACACAGCCCCAAAGGTAGGGAGGCAGTGAGCCTAGCCAAGCCAGTGAGGTCCAGACCCAGTGAGAAACTGTCTTTAAGGGGGTGGACAGTGCCCAAGGATAACACCCCAGATTGTACTCCAGCTCTGTACTCACATTCAGATATGTGCAGCTGTACATACATGCACACAAACACAGAGTTTTCTAGGTGAAACATCTCAGCAAACCTATGGTACTTTAGTTAGGTTTTGTTAGAAGTGAGAACATGCCATAGCTTCTCTCTCTCTCTCTCTCTCTCTCTCTCTCTCTCTCCTTTTTTCCCCTCTCCCCCTCTACCTCCCTCCCTCTCTTTCTTCTCTCCTCTCTCTCTTTCAGAATCCTATTAAATCTAAAAGCCATGATCTACACAATGTGAACCTTTACTGACAGGGACAGTTTTTATGGATTTAATTTCTGATTTTAAAAAATCATGAGCATTTATATTGTCCTTCCTGTCAGTTTGTAGGAATTTTTCCGTCTTTAAGAATTAGCTGGTTGTTTTTTTTTTTTTTAAATCATGCCTACCTCTGCTCACAGAAAACAATAGTATTTCATTTATAGATGTTACCAGCCCAGGATCCTACTTGGTTTGTTAACGTTTCCCCCAAACCTCCTATGTATTATGGGGGGGTCTTTTATAAATGGTATTTGTTGATTTCTCAGGAGAAATCCTGCATTTTCAACACTCTTTGCCTCACCATGTAGAAGTCAGGCTGGTGGGCAGACCAGCAAGACGTGTGTGTCACCACATTCTCGCTGCATCTCTGCTTTCTAACCTCTCACCTGTGGTCCCTTTTGGAACAGCAATAGCTTTCGTGGATGTCAGTTTTTCTTTATCTTTCCAGTACCTCTTCAGTAGGAAACCTGTCACACATGAATGTTTTCTTTATTCAGAACCCTCTCTATTGTGTGAAATATTTTTGACAGCCTGCCTGTTCTTGGGTTTACTTTATACTCAGGGACTTCTGACAAGGTTTGATTCTTTAACCCTGCAAAGTTTAATCACCGGATCAAACTCTACAAATACTGCTTCTGAAATTCAATTCCAAGGTCCAACCAAGTCTAAATCTTTCTACATATTCCTAAATTCTAGTTGCGTCATAGCACATCTCGGGGTTGTTATTGCATGAAAGTTTGGAAGCGCGAGAGAGCGCCCAGTGGTTAGGGGCATGTAACTGCTGCAGACCTGAATGTCAGTCCCAGCACCCGCACATCTGCCTTAAGCTCAGCCCTGGACCTCTGACACCCTCTTCTGACCTTAACAAGAACAACACACAAACACACTTAATGTAAAAGGAAAAAGAAATAAGAAGGAAAGTTTGGATATTACGTCTAAAGCCATCAGGATTTAAAGTCAGAGCGATGTCTTGAAGGACATGGGATGTTTCCATCCCTAGGTCTCCAGTGAGCACCACAGCCATGCCCCTTTGAAAAGCAAACACTAGTGCCTCCTGTAGACAACTCTCCACTCTTATTTAAATCCTAGACAATATGACTTTTACATGTTAAAGCAAATTGTCTAGTAAGGAAAGGACTCTTTTATTTACTGGCTTTAGTTCTAAGTACCAGAAATGGGTAATGGAGGCCAATAGAAAAAGGAAAAACGAAGCACTTGGGGAAGCCAAGGTTTGGAACGGTAGCAGCTTCATTGGCAGGGTTGCCTTTCTCACACTGTTTACTTGGAGTTCTGAAATAGAGGCGGAAGGAAGGCAGATCCAGCTACTACTGAAAGGAATACAGACACACTAGGTCGCTCGTGTGCTATAGTCAGACACTGGCCATAATTTGGCAAATAGATGTATAAAGTTTTCCTATGAACAAATCTACTATACCAACCTTAGCACTCAAGGTGAAGGTCAGTGTACATCAGCAGTGTACCAACGCACAACGAATTTGCTGTCGCGATGGAAGATTCTTCACTTTTTATCCTCTACCTCCATAGCTGAAACTGAATGTATTTTGAACCCTTGACAAAATGAACTTTGAATCTTCAGTACTGTTGGGGCTTCTGTCAAAGACAGTGCCATCATGCTTGGGGAGGAGATGGGCAGTTGGGTTATAAGCAGTGTGGTTTACACTGTTGTGTTTAGTCTGTCTACTGCAGTGCATTTGTCTTTAATTATATGTCACCTAGAATATGTTCTCACAGTCTGTGCTCACAGTCTGCTTACCAAAAGGAGACGCTTAAATTGGCTTAGAAGTAAACTGCCAGCTTCATGATTAGGACGTGATTGGAGAGTCTCTGATATGTTCCTGGGGTCTCCGGAATCTCAGATGTGTTCGTGGGGTCTCTGAGAGTTTCAGACGTATTCCTGGGGTCTCCGAGAGTCTCAGATGTGTTCCTGGGGTCTCCGAGAGTCTCAGATGTGTTCCTGGGGTCTCTGAGAATCTCTGATATGTTCCTGGGGTCTCTGGAATCTCAGATGTGTTCGTGGGGTCTCTGAGAGTTTCAGACGAGTTCCTGGGGTCTCCGAGAGTCTCAGATGTGTTCCTGGGGTCTCTGAGAGTCTCAGATATGTTCCTGGGGTCTCTGAGAGTTCCAGACATGGTCCTAAGGTCTCTTGAAAGTCTCAGATGTGTTCCTGGGGTCTGTGAGAATCTCAGATGTGTTCCTGAAGTCTCTCTGAGAGTCTCAGATGTGTTCCTGGGGTCTCTGAGAGTCTCCAATGTGTTCCTGGGGTCTCTGAGAGTCTCCAATGTGTTCCTGGGGTCTCTGAGAGTCTCCAATGTGTTCCTGGGGTCTCTGAGAGTCTCGGACATGTTCCTGGGGTCTCTGAGAGTCTCAGGTGTGTTCCTGGAGTCTCTGGATCAATGAGGATGTTGGGCTCTCTTGTGGATTTTTTAGTTAGTTCATATGTGAGCTTGTTTTGTTTTGTCTGGAACAGGGTTTTCCTGTGTAGCTGATCTCAAACTTGGTGTGTAGACCAGGCTGGCCCCAAAGTTATGCTTTTCTTCTTGCTTGTGCCTCATGATGTTGGGATTGCATGTGTGCACCACCGTGCCAGGGTAGTGTGTTTGTTTGTTTTCATTGTCCATTAATAAGATAATATGCACTGTGTGTGGAAATGCTGTTCTAGAAAACTGCGTATATGAATTTTCTATGTCTGTGGTTATAGCCCAATTTAACGACCCTTTTCCTTAACTGTGGCACTGTAAGGCCCCACTGGAGCACTCGGCTCCAGTGCACTCGGCTCCAGAGCACTCGACTTAGGCGAACATTCTGCTGTTGCTCACTCCCAATCCCCTCTCTCCATGTTATTCTAAGGCAGGGTCTCCCTAGCTCCTTACGCTGGCCTTGAACTTTTGACCCTCCCCTGAACTTGTCAACCTCCAGAGTAGCTGGGTTACAGCCTAAGTCATGTATGGGAATCAGATACCTTACTTGTTTTTCTTTTTACACTAAAAACTTGTGTGAGGGTCCCCTTTTCTCTCTTGATCCGTCGGCCATCAGTCCGAGAGGGTAAAGAGGCAGAAGGGGCTTTGTATGTGGGCGGTGAGTACAAATGGGGACAGCCTTTCCCTAGACAGATTTTGGTGAAACAGCTCAATTTTATTCTAGAGTTTAAGGAATATATAGGACTGGGGAGCCTGGGGACAAACCCGTTTGCCTTAAGTAGCACACTTCTGTCTACTTGGTATGTGGCAGAAGGGTTCTATAGCAGAACTAGAGATAGTCTTCTTAGCAGGGATCTGTGCCAAGGGTCAAGCTGAAGGTGAATCAGGCATCTGGCTTTAGAGACAGCTTTCAGATAAGGTCAGTCCTCCAGGCCCAGGGACATTCTCCAGATAAGGGCAGGGAGAGAGCTGGAAGCCTTGCTGGGGAGGGAGGGAATTCCATATTGCTGAGCTTAGAGAAAGCTGCCAGGCTACTGAAGACTGTGACCTCTGACCAGCCAGCAATGTATTCCAACAAACTTGAAACATATTCATAAAGAACTTAGAATGAATGAAGTGGGGAGAGGGGGAAGGGAGAGGGAATATGTATACTTTCAACCAATCTTCCAAGGATTAACAGACACTGAAGTTCAAGTCCACACGCAGTGGTTGAGCTCTTTTGGGAAGAAAACAGATGTGGACGAAGACTGCGACCAGCTTGTAGGGATCCATAAACAAACAGCTCATTGTCACTGTAATGTGTGTGTCAAGGGCTTTGGGCCACCATGACAGAAGAGACAAACACCTGCCTGGTGTTCAGCCACAGGGACGGGTCTTTGGGGTGTGTGAGGTCCCCTAAGAAAGACCAGGCCACTTCCACGGTGGCGAGCCTCAGCTCTGTCAGAAACTCACATGCTCGACTGTCCAGGACACCACCCAGGATACTGTCAACCAAAACTGTTAGAAGTGCAAGTCCAGAGGGCTATGGGCCTTGGTGGTAGGCCTGTGGGGGCTTTTTCTGTAGTACCAAAGAGTTTCACAATAGCACGGAATGGAGGATAACAAAGGTTTATTTATTTGGGGATAAACTCTCAGTAAGGATAGCAATCTGCAGTATTCCGTGTGTGCTGGGAACTGGAACCGAATCCAGCAGAAAAAGGGGCTGTGCACACTTTCTGGCTGCATTTATAGTACATGAGACCATGCCCAAAGTGGGCTGGTGTCTTTAAAGGGTATTGGCTGAAGGAGCTCCCACAATGTTTATGCTCCACGTGGGTCCCTCTCTGCATATCTTCTTCTGTTGCTAGCTTACCCAAACTAAAAATTTCAACAATTGTTTAAAATACTTCTTCATTGTCTTATGTAATTTAGTTTCTTTAATTGCATCCATTTGGAAAATCACAGCAAAGCCCCATTTATTTGTACAATAATTTTTAAAATTTCAAAATGAATGCATTGACAAGGCTAATGATAATAATAAACAGGAAACTTAAGAGTGCAATGCACTGGGTACCATTCTGTAGATAATAATGCTGCCCTCATCTCTGTTGTTCCAGGGAAAGAGGAATAGTGGCTTCAGACAGTGTTTCTTTGGGAACCAGAAGCATTGCAAGTTGACAAAACTCTGTCCAGCCATGGGCTACACCTTCAGGCTTGCTGCTCGGAATGACATCGGCACCAGGTATGGCCTCTCCTGTGCTTCTAGCCCTTCAGCCTTCGAGGCATGGTTCCGGCTGTCTCTCACATTGCCTGAAGGTTTGACGAAGCAACCTCCACACCGAGCAATTCTGAGGGGAAGTCCTATGGAGGGAGAAGGCCTCTGCGGTGACAGAACACACCGGCCTTACTCAGCCCACTAGTGTCCCAGGGACCAAGGGGAAGCTCCATAAAGGAAGCCCTCTCCTTCCCCCCGCTCAGCACCTAGTCCTTGGTCTGTATCACTTTTAATGCCTGTCCTGCAGGTCTTCCCTTTTCATTTGTGCGACTGTTGCTAGTACAAAGAAACTTGTGCTGAGCAACTATTATCGCCAAGTTATAGAATCAGGGAAAACCCAGGCTGCAGGAGGAAGGGAAGAAGGGGACCTGACCAAGGACCCATTGATTTAGGGGCTTTGAAAAGAGGCCATGTCTCAGTTCTTGCTACGTAACTGTTGATCAAGGGGAAAATCTTTTTGTTCCATGACTGCACCTTAGGGACTAAGCGTTCAGCGGCCCCAGCATGGCGATGCTCCTGTGATCTCACTGAGGTCTCAGAACTGCTCCCAGCGCCTGGAAAGCAGCGTAGCTCAAGGGTGTCCTGGCCAGAAAAGTTGAATGATACAGGCTTCTACGATTCAGGAATTCTGAAGGGAATTAGAAGCACCACAGACTTGGAAAACCGTTTGTAAAACTCATGTTCCTTCAGCACCGTGACGTGTTTGTACACAGTCATCCCCAGTCTCTGGGTAGCCGCTGCTCTTACCTCGATAAATGTGCTGCCATGCTGTGCCTTTGAGGGAATAAAATCATAAACCTGCTTTCTTATAGCTTGGCGTGCTTTCGTAAAATGCAGATTCTAGGGGCACAAGAGGACAATTGAAAGCTGTGGTGGGAAATGTCCTGTGTACAGGACCCTTTTCCACCACACAGCAGTGGGGCTGGGAAGAGGCATGCCTCCCTCCTTTAAAGCACCAGGACTCCCGACACGGTGTCTCTGTTCATCTCTGCAGTGGTTACAGCCAGGAGGTGGTGTGCTATACACTGGGGAACATCCCACAGATGCCCTCAGCACCCAGGCTCGTCCGAGCTGGCGTCACCTGGATCACACTGCAGTGGTCCAGGCCTGAAGGCTGCTCGCCGGAGGAAGTGATTACGTACACCCTGGACATCCAGGAGGACGAAAACGTGAGTCTTGCTCGTTCTACACCTGCAAAGCATCATGATATCTTATGGCCAAACTCAAGGCTGCTCTTTGTTTCTACCACTGCTGTCTTGCTGTGTGGGTCCAGCTGTCCTTTCCAGCTCAGCACATGACTGCTGGCCATTCTGCTGGAGTCACCCTATGACTCCAGATACGACCAACCAACAAACCCTTTAAACTGTCCTTCAGATTAGCCAGAAATCTAACAGACGTTCACCACCTCCACAGCTGAGAAAGCCTCCTAGGCAGCCTTCCCCTTGCTCTGAATGAATGCAGTGACCCCTGCTGTGCCCCAACATCACCCAGGTGTTCTGTGGTCACTGTCACAGAGCCCAGGCCACCCAGACACCCGTTTGCAGAGGAGCCACAGCTCTCCTAATGCCCACCCCCCCACTGGCCTGTGTGCTTGGATTTTCTCACCGCCCTTGTTCCTTATCCCACTGTGCCCCGGCCTTGGGAACCTGCATCTCCTGTGTTCTCCTTCGTGGCTCCTTGAAGATGCCTTTCTCACTTTCCTGGTTCCCTTTGGGTCTCCTCTCACATCTCAGCAAATATCCTCCCAGAATAGCCCTTGCCTGACCACTCTGGACAATCTCGGCCATGTGGAACTCTGCAGTGGTAGATGTGTCCTGCAGATTATGTGGGATGTGTGGCGGTGAACATTTGAAATATGGCTGCAGACTAAAGGAGTCTTTGATTGTATTAAGTTTAAATCCCAAGAGCCACCAACTCGTGCTGCCGGGACAGCGTCCAGGGGCTCCAGCAGCCTGCCTCTTGCCTTTCTGTGCCTTCACGGCCCACATGGCATGCCTTCTCCTTCTCTGTGTGTAGGGCTTTCTATTTGCAGTTGCCTTCTTTAGCTGATATGCCATTATCTTGCAGACCAGGCTCTATATGTCTTTTAGTGGGACTGATTCCCGCGGGCCTGAAGGGAGCCTGATGCACAAACATTGCCTTGGAGGGAGGGAGTGTTGACAGAGGCTTCTGTCCCGCCTGGTCCCCGCAGCTGTTTAGTTCCAAAGACACACAGAGGTCTACATTAATTATAAACTGGTTAGCCTATTAACTCAGGCTTCTTATTAACTCTTATAACTTACATTAACCCATAATTCTTGTCTGTGTTAGCCACATGGCTTGGTACCTTTTATCAGTGAGGCATTCTCATCTTGCTTTCTCTGTGTCTGGGTGACGACTACAGACTGACCCTTTCCTTTTCCCAGAATTCTCCTGTTCTGGTCACCCCGCCTATACTTCCTGCCTGGCTACTGGCCAATCAGCATTTTATTAAACAAGTACAAGAGACAAATCTTCACAGGTTATAGGGCCATTGTCCCTCAGGGAGGGAGGGAGGGAGGGAGGGAAGGAAGGAGGATAGAGAACACTGTGGATTGAATTCAGCATATTTGCCTACTGTGGTAAGGTCTATCCTGAGGGAGTATGTCCTTCGCCATCCAAGCCTGGCTTTTTCCGCTAGCAAGAAGAGAGTGCTATAGCTCAGGAACCCTGCCTGCCTGCTATGGCACAGCCCCTTGCAGTGTTTGCTTCCCCGACAGCAGGCTTTTCTCATGACAAATTAATGGTTAAATAAAAATATGTCACATGCTTACTGCTTTGTCATGATACAATTGGCCAGAGCCAGGCTACACTGCCGTGTGACAAATGAGACCTAAATTTAAGTTAGAAAGCTGTCCGTGCCGTGACTGGTCCTCCCTTAGCTATGGCTGCCAGCCTCTGGACTCATGGTGGCCATAGGAAGCCACAGTAAAAAGTCCTGGGTTCTTTGGAATTTGAGGTGTGGGTATGAAGATTCTGATGTCTTTGCCTTTTCAGGATAACCATTTCCATCCGAAGTACAGCGGAGAAGATCTGACCTGTACTGTAAAAAATCTCAAAAGAAGCACACAGTACAAGTTCAGGGTGAGTCTCATCGCCTCGGCGCTAACTCTGACATTTTGGTGTTTGCCCACTTACGTTTCCAGTGGAGTCTGCAGTCAAGAAGGGCTACAGTGGGCAGCACCTTCAAAGGAGCAGCGCACTCCCTAGTCAGAAAACCATGCGAGAATATGCGGTTACAGTGAAGGCAGGTGTGCACCCAGGAAGACCCTAACCTGACACTGTGTCCCCGCTCTCGCTGGCGACTCCAGACACTGTGTGTCCCAGCCCTCGCTGGTGACTCCAGACACTGTGTGTCTCTGATCTCACTGGAGACTCCTGACACTGTGTGTCCCCGCCCTCACTGGTGACTCCTGAACCTGTGTCTCTACCCTCACTGGTGACTCCTGACTCTGTGTCCCCGCCCTCACTGGTGACTCCTGACGCTGTGTGTCTCTGATCTCACTGGAGACTCCTGACACTGTGTGTCCCCGCCCTCACTGGCGACTCCTGAACCTGTGTTTCTACCCTCACTGGTGACTCCTGACGCTGTGTCCCCGCCCTCACTGGCCATGCCCTCCTTCCTGTGCTGTGATGGCATGCTCTGCCCTCTGACCATCCCTCCCGTTTTAGTCTTCTCTCCCATTTCCCACTCCTTCCTCAGCTTAGCCCGGAGGTTCTCAACCTTTTAATACAGCTCCTCATGTGGTGGTGACCTCCAACCATACAATTACTTTTATTGCTACTTAGTAGCTGTAATCCTGCTACTATTATGAATCATAATGTAAATGCCTAATATGCAGGATATCTGATAGGCGACCCCTGTGCAAGTATCCTTTGACCCACAGGTGGAGAGCCACGGACCCATAAAGAGGCACCACTAACGTTACTGCAGGGACCTGTGTCAGAGCCGCAACGTGAAGCTGCTTTGCATTGCTCATGCAGTGCGTCCTCCTGTCCCACAGCTCCTCTGTCCGTCCTGTGCACGGCACTCGTGTGCACTCGTTTCTTCGTGTGCCCTGAGGGTTCCCCACCCTCGCGTCTCTAATTTTAGGGCACAGTAATTTAATTTGGCATGTCGTCACCCCAGTATTTGTCAGATTATCAAGCGGAGAGTTGAGACTGACTATTTGAGGAATATAATTGTTTTTGGTATGCTAAAAATACCAGTGTTGGCTCCCAGATCGTAGCTGTACTGCTTTTCTCCACCAGATGGCACTGCCTGACTCTTCCATAAGTAAAGTTTTTGTCTGACTTGGCCGTGTTTTCTTTTCACCCAACAGCACAACCTAGGTGGAAACATTGTGATTTCATATATACTTCCCCTGCAGCCTCCTCTTCCCCCTCCTTTATTGAAACGTGGCCTTACTCTATTTCAGAATTGCCTGGAACTGCCTACATAGCCTAGAATGGTTTCAACCTCCCACATGCTAGGATCATGGGCATGCACCACTACCCTAGGCTTACATTTCTTCCTGTAAGGATATACAAATATCCTTAGATAGTTTTAGTTTTAATTGTTAATACCCAAATATCAGAAAAATGAATGATGACAAACACGTCGACAGTCTGAAGAAAGCAAGCACTGGCTGGGTGGCTGTGTGCCGGGTGGGTGGGTAGGTGGCTGGGTGGCTGGGTGGGTGGCTGGGTGGGTAGGTGGCTGGGTGGCTGGGTGGGTGGGTGGGTGACTGGGTGGCTGGGTGGGTAGGTGGCTGGGTGGCTGGGTGGGTGGCTGGGTGGGTAGATGGCTGCGTGGCTGTGTGCTGGGTGGCTGTGTGCTGGGTGGGTGGGTGGCTGGCTGGGTGGCTGGCTGGGTGGCTGGCTGGGTAGGTGGCTGGGTGGGTGGGTGGGTAGGTGGCTGGGTGGGTGGCTGGGTGGGTGGGTGGCTGTGTGCTGGGTGGGTGGGTGGGTAGGTGGCTGTGTGCTGGGTGGGTGAGTGGGTGGGTGGCTGTGTGCTGGGTGGGTGGCTGTGTGCTGGGTGGGTGGGTGGCTGTGTGCTGGGTGGGTGAGTGGGTGGGTGGCTGGGTGGCTGGGTGGGTGGGTGGGTGGGTGGCTGGGTGGCTGGGTGGGTGGCTGTGTGCTGGGTGGGTGGGTGGGTGGCTGGGTGGGTGGCTGGGTGAGTGGGTGGCTGGGTGGGTGGGTGGCTGCGTGGCTGGCTGCGTGGCTGGGCATCTGTCACCATGTCTGGCCTTGCTGTCTCAGAGTCACTGTTGACATTGCTAGAGCCTGTAACTTACGTGTCCTGCTCTTCTCTTGGCTGTGTTACAGCTGACTGCTTCTAACATGGAAGGGAGAAGCTGCCCAAGTGAAGTCCTGGTTTGTACGACCAGTCCTGACCGACCTGGACCTCCGACCAGGCCGCTCATTAAAGGGCCAGTCACATCACATGGCTTCAGTGTCAAGTGGGGTACGTTTTCTGCCTCTGCTGCTGCTTTTCCTTTTTGACTCATCTTAATTTCGGTAGTGACAAATCAAACACAAGCACACAGTATTGTGTGTGGGAGCATCGTGCATGTGCTACACACGTGTGAGAAGCATCCTGAGGCCTGGAGGAGGCCATGGGATTTTAATGTATGGCCAGACTTTAGTGGACTACTTAAACGAACAATTTTAAGAGTGTCTCATTTATTTCATAATTTTCTTATATTACAGTTTTCCTCCCTTTATAAATGCATTGTTGATTTGAATCTGAGGATTCATAATTAGATAATTCATTCTTTAATGACTCACCTTAGAAATTTAATAGGAATACTATTTTCAAATTAATACTGAGATTGGATTTCAAATTTAGATATGTAACTTTTAACATGTAAAGTGCCGCAATGAAATAGGAAAAGTTTGTGTTGTTTGTTCTGTAGCCTCCAGGTTGAGCTTCAGGATCTTCTCCCTTAGGGCTGAGACACAGCCAGGGAGGACAGTGAAGTTCATCTCTGCGGTGTGGGTCACTTCAGGGACGTGCATATTCCTTACTGTGCGGTTGATACATTTGTGGTTACATGTGAAACGGTTGAGACGCGTGTGCTTTGAACTAACGTCACGTAAGGATATGTACAAATAGCAGGTGAAAGGCAAACAGAAAAAGATAGAGTTCTGAAGGTCCTGTAGAGGGGTGCAGTTTAGAGCACAGGCCATCACTGCAGCCAAGGTCAAGTGTGCTGTCTTGAGTTATCAGAGAACTCTGAGGCCCTCTGTCCGGAGGACAAGTATAGTCAAGAGCAGGTGAGGGACTTGGGGCTGCTTGTGGGTCCTTCCTCCAGGGATCCTGTCCCTCTGCGCGCTCCCTCCTTCTCCTCAGCTCTATGCTGGGTTTGTCTCCATGGAAATCTCTTGAGTAGTGCAACGATCTGGGAAAGTGAGCTTCCTCAGTCCGTGTGAGGAAAGCCCAGGCCTTGCAAAGTCTCCCCCATGACCAGGGATGTAGAGGTGGCTGGCTGCTGCCAGACATGAATTGAGTTCTTAACAGTTTGGCAAAATTCTTCTGCCTCGCGTTTCCATACTCAAAAACCAAACGCTTGTAGGCAGGGTCTGTGTCCATTTACCCAGGGCGACGTAGAGGACTCTGGAAATTGACAGAGCCCTCCTCCCACGTTGCCAGGTACATGTTGATCCAGGCTCCAGGGTGAGGATAGAAAGTTGATTTGGGAGAAAGTGTGGCAGAATGAACTTACTCCATCCCATATTTTATTTATTTTGTCAGTGTAGTTTTCTTTTCTCTCCACTTCTCATTTTTCAGAAATATCTGCTTGCTCGTAAAATATATGAAGTAAAAATAATAAAACACGATAAACATCTAAACATTTCAACTTTACATAAAAGTCACCAAATCTCAGAGTCACCTCCAGATTCTCCAGAGTAAACTCGTTGTTTTGGAAGCCATTCCGCTTGCCTAGTTTTGTGCGTGTCTCACTAAATAAACGCTAAATCTTACACTCCATTCTGCATTTCAGCGACCTTAAATAGAAGCCTGATAAAAGTCACAGCTTCTTGACACTGAGGAGCCAGTGTGGGAAGTGGGGCACTCATACCTGTAATCTCATGATAATCGGGTGGGGTGCCGAGGCAGGAGGATTGCTGAAACTTTGGGACCACTTTGGGAAGTATGAGATGCTGTCTTAAGGAAAAAAAATTAAAGGGGCAGGGGTCATGATCATAAAGAATTGTGCCTTTTGGTGCAGTCCAGACTGAAGGGCACGTAGCAGTAGATTCTTTGGTTCTCTGTGATGATGTTTACCAGTTCCGTCCTGTCCTCTCCTCACTGATGGTGTTTGCCCACTCTCCAGATGCTCCAAAGGACAGTGGCGGCTCAGAAATCCTGAAGTACCTGCTGGAGATCACAGATGGAACTTCTGAAGGTGACACTTCGGGAACTTTAAATTCTTGTCCTGATGTGGTCAGACCCTTTCTGTAGCAGCAGTAGGCAGCCTTTAGTTCTATGATATACAGCAAGTAGTGTGGTAAAACTATATCTATCTGTCTATCTACCTGTCTGTCTGTCTGCCTGCCTGCCTGTCTGTCTGTCTGTCTGTCAATCTACCATCTATCTATGATATATGATATATATACCCTCCCCTCCCTCTCACTAGAGTTTGATCTTGAGTTAGTTTTTTCTTCAAGTACTGCAGCAAGCCCTCTACCCCAGAATGTACCCCTGAGTACATCCCAGTTTCCAGACGCCACAGTTCGCTGTGCTTGAAGTGCCCATCTTTGGCATGCTGGGTTGTTTTGTTTTCTATTCTCTGTGTCAATTATAAGCCACGGGGGAAATAAGCTCTTCCTCCCCTAAGCTGCCAGACTTCTGGAAATTGTGGGCGGAGGATCAGAAATGGTCCCCCTGGCACCCTGCCATGTCCAGTGGCAGCCACGTCATAGTGTGGCCAGTGATGGGCGTCAGACTTTGATAGTAATTGGTCTCCACTGTGACCTTGGAGTTAGAACTCCCATCAGCAGCCTCACTACAAGGATTAAAATGCAGCCATGGGGCTTGCCGCCTCGTCTAGTGACCTGAGTTCAGTCCCTGGAACTGTGTTCTGACTCCACAAGGTTGTCCTGTGAGCACCCCCATGCGCACTGACATACATGAACATGAGCGTGCACCCCCACCACACACAGAAGTCATAATTTAAGAGGGGCAGTGCCAGAAAGGAAAATCTTTAGAGCCCTGAAAATGCTCTTGCCTTTCTTTCTAATAAAACTCATTGGACTTCAATAGACAAAGATATAGTTGTCAAAACTCTAAAACCTAGCCTCGCTTTCCCAGTAAGGCTGCTGTGATCAGTATTTGTTTAAAGTGTGTGTGCCTGTGACCAGAGGACCCGGGTCCCTGGGAACAGGGGACTCTGCTTTCGGTCTGTGTGCCACACCCATCTGGAGCTGCTTCGTTGCTGTCTTTTCTAAAGCCTGTCAAGTACTAAGCTGAAAATAGGAGAATTCCAGAAGATGGGCACAGCTGTTCTTAACACGAAATCCGTTTCTGCACTAAAGAGCACACTTAGTGTTTACATTAAGACTGGGAGAGAAGTCGGTGTCTCCCAGGTGCTTATGGAGAAAGTGTAAGTCGGCTTCCCATCATCCAGCTCCCTCGGGTGCTGAGTCATTGCAAGAGTGGGCGTTATTTTACCTTAGCACCGGCAGCTGGCCGTGCATGGGAGTAATTAATAGAACTTTCCATGTCTCGTTGTCCCAGCTGTTCCTCAGTGTAGGCTGTCCGCCCGTAACTCAAGCACCGCTGTCTAAATTCTGAGTTCCCACGGAGCTTTGTCCTAACACTGACATAATAAGACCCAGGACCACAAGGTAGGGAGGGATAAAGTCTACCGTAATAGCCAGCTGAAGGAATTTGTGACTGTATAAAACACCGTAGAACAGGGCAAGCGTATTTCCCCTGAAATAGCTAGTGGATCCGAGGGCTGTGTAGAGCGCCCAGCTGGAAACCACACGAGAGCAGACATCCCTGCAGCCTGATGCTGAAGCAGGCAGTGGCAGGATCACTTCTAGGTGCTTTCCTCGAGGGGCACCAGCCTGGGGACATCCCCCAGCCACCCCATCTGCTCCCTTCAGTCTCAGCACCACTGAGACAACCTGAGTCACTCCAAGTGCTCCACCTCTGACTCCTCAGCATTGGGCTCATCTTCCTGCGTGGGCTCCTTGAGCACAGCAGCCTTCTCGGAAGCCCTGGTCTGTAAAGGTGCAGTTGTCCCGACTGAAGCACCTTTGGGCAGCACCTGCATAGCTGGTCCTGTGGCCGCCTCACCATGGCATTCACGGCTGCTCAACACTGTCTTAGTACCCGCCTCCTGTGCTAACGCCCATGGCATATGGCTTCCCACATCCCAACCTCATGATCAGCAACGTCTCTGTGGCCATAAAAAATGGCCCTGTGTATATTGGTGCCAGGTGGTGCTGGGCTTCTGTGGAAGCCGCTTGGTGTTCTGCCGCAGATGCTGTTTCTAACTTACACGCGTCTCCTTTCACAGCTGGTCAGTGGGAAGTGGCCTACAGCGGCTCTGCTATGGAGTATGTCTTTACCCACTTGAAACCAGGCACTTTGTACAGACTGCGGGTCTGCTGCATCAGCACCGGTGGGCACAGTCAGGTTGGTCAATCAGTGTGTGACAGGATGGACGTTTGTGGCAGTTCCTTTACTTCAGAGCCGTGCAGGTCCTTTACTGCCACCTACTGGGAGGCTGTTGTAAAAGCAATATTGTTGGTTAATTTCCCATGTCTCGTCTCTATCTGTATGAATGCAGACCAACCAGGTGACCTGTCAGGAGACTCGGTTTCTGCCACACACAGTGCTCAGAGGTTCCATACAACCCAGCAAATGCTTGCAGAGTACTCTTGAAATGAGTGTGGGTGTGGTGTTGAGACTCATGAAAATAGGCACTGTGTTCAAAGTGTTTTCACCGTAGATGATTTGAAACCATGTGATGAGAAAGAGAGATGATCTAGTCACCCGGTAGCAGATTGATTATTGAATATAAGGCTTGCCCTGTCTAACATGTTTCTGAATTTTACACACACTCACACGCACGCATGCACACATGCTTAGCATAGCAGTTCCAAAAGCCCGGTCAGAACACCCTTCCCCCGTGCGGGACTGCCCGGAAAGTTGCTGTTGGAGTGTATCCAGACCATAGCCGTAGAGCATCGGGGCATCCCCCACGTGAGGGCTCTGCAGGGCAGCATATGTGTTACTTGATGGCACAGAGTTCGCTTCCCATCCGTCACTGCTCTGGAAGGAATTGGAGCTGCCTGGCTGTGCCCTGTTTCTTTGATTCTTGTAAGATGGTGAGCTTTTTTAACACCAGCCTGGCACAGCCAGATCCTACCAAAGGGAGGCCTAGTTATTTTAGCATTTACAGAACTACCGTGAAAGTCAGGCTTGGTGGGCGAGTGCTCCCGTTGACCCTCCTCTGCCGTTTCTGTGACTGGCTGTCCATTTAAGGAGCCATTCTTCATTTATCCAGTTGCTGTGTGTGTTCTTCCGCATTCTTATGAAGGGTCCTTCTAGTGTTGACGTAAAGGAAAATAAGTGTGCCTAGGGCAAACGCTTCTCCATCCTAGTCATGTGACGTCAGAGGGAGCTGCTCTTGTTATAACCGGCACTGTATGCCCTGAGAGCCCACCACACATGTAGACAGGCGTGGACCCTCCTGAAGAGTTTGATACATGACAGGCACATACATCTAGTGTGTAATTCCTTTTTGGTCCCATTTACAGTTGTGGGAAAGACTTAGCCTGGTAGGTAAGGTATGAGCAGTTCACAGTAACTAAGCAATGGTCTTTCCGGTGTTTCTCCCACAGTGTTCTGAAAGTCTCCCCGTTCGCACACTAAGCCTTGCGCCAGGTCAGTGCCGACCGCCGAGGGTTTTGGGTAGACCAAAGCACAAAGAAGTCCACTTAGAGTGGGGTGAGTGTATAAACCTGCGTGTGGGCATCGACCAGGACAGTGGGAAGTAGAGACACAGTGCTTTGTCACTCGGCTCCAGGGCTTCCTTCTTAAGCTGTGCCCCTGCTAGCATAGCTGTGCGCTCCCCTCACCCCACACCTTCTCGCTCATGCTCCCATTCCTGGGGTGCTGCACACACTGTTGCTACTCCACCTTTCGGAGGTCACATTCCTGTGAAGGAAACGTGTAAAATGTAGAGATTAAACCAGAAATGGCTCTAAGGTTCCTCGGTGGGTCCTGGCTCTCCACAGCGTTCACTCCAGTGTGCCAGCAGCGCTTATGCACACTGCCAGTGTAATGTGTAGAGCGCTAGCAGACAGTGTGGGGTCCCGTAGACTTGGCATGACGTCTGACATTAGATTTTTCCTTCCCTCCCTTTTTCCCTCTCCTTTATTGAAGTGTGATGCTTTCCCTAGTGCTCATTATTCCTGGATTCTTTTTACTATGACCAAACCTGTTTAAACGCACCTGCTTTGGATGGCTGGGATTGTTCAGGAGCTTTTCATTTCTTTGATTGGGAGGCTCCTCTTGGAACAGAAACTCAAAGGACACACCACCTACATATTTTGGAAAATATTGATTAAAAAATCAAATGTAACTCAGTCAACTGAAATCCAAAAAGTTCAGGCTGAGGACATGGTCCAGTGGCTGAGACAGCACTTGCTGCTATAGCAGGGGACCCAGGCTCAGTTCCCAGCACCCACATGGTCTCACAGCCACACACTTCACAGGAGAGGGCTTCACTGCCCTCTCCTGGCCTCTGCACCATCCACACACAGTGCATGCGCATACGTGCAGCCCCCCACCCCAATCGTAAAAGTAAAACAAACTTAAAAAAAAATAGAAATCCAGAAACAGTGCTCAAAGATGAAACACCATTTTTACATCCTCAGACGTCCCTGCATCTGAGAGTGGCTGCCAGGTCTCCGAGTACAGCGTGGAGATGACAGAGCCTGAGGATGTCGCTTCCGAGGTGTACCATGGGCCCGAGCTGGAGTGCACAGTCGGCAATCTGCTTCCTGGGACTGTGTATCGCTTCCGAGTGCGGGCTCTGAATGACGGAGGGGTAAGTGTGCGGTTACCCCCATAACTGGAGTACGCGTACCTCCTCAGCCCCCTCAAGTTCCTCAGGAGTGTGTGCCCCCTGCCGACAGCCGCTACACTGTATATAGTAAGATCCTATTTGAGAAGCAATGTTGTCACAACTTCCTACAGGCTTGGCACTACAAAGGTTCTGCTTCCCTAAGTGAAAGTTCTCTAAGGGAATTAGGCAAAGTCAGTCAGGAGAGCATTTGCACATGCTGAGTTCAAGCCCAAACCCTCCATTTTAGAAAGCTAAGCGTGGGGGAGCATGCCTGTGCTCTCATCACTGAGAAGGATGGATACCTGGGGCTTGCTGTAACCAGCCTAGCCTACTTAGTGAGGTCCAGTCCTGCCTTAGAAAACAAGGTAGAAGCAGAGGTTGCCTCCCATCCTCCACACGTACACACAGGTACTGTACACACATGAATGTATACGCACCCCAGAAAGCATTATAACATATTGTCTGTGCCTTGAGTAGCTTAGTTCTCTAGACAAAGGGGGTGGGGCCTGAGGGGGCAGCTTAATGGTTTTTATTTGATTCCTCTGAAAACTCCACAAGTCTCTGTCTCCTCCTCCTGTCTCATGCGTCTGGTGTCTCATGGTCTGGTCAGAAGCTGAGAGAATGTGTGCCTATACAGATCCAAAGAGGGACTGTCCTTTTGTCTCTGTGAAGTGGTAGACTGATGGGCTTGGAAATGGGGAGTAGGTGGCCCACAAAGGGTGTCAGGGATGGGCAGAAATGCGAAGAATGAGCTGATGCCTGTGGCTCCCAAAGCCTCGGTGTTGTGTCCCGCTGAGCTCCGTGAGAATTGTCGCATTTCATTAATTGGCAGAATTTATTTAAAAAGAGAAGAAAGGCTAATTGACAATATGTGCAGGTCATTGACAATATAAAGAAAAATCATGTCACATGAGACCCAGGGGCATTCTGAAAATACGTTACAGCAGTGTTGCTTTTCATTATTATTATGTATATAGTATTCTTTCTGTGTGTATGCCTGCAGGCCAGAAGAGGGCACCAGACCTCATTACAGATGGTTGTGAGCCATCATGTGGTTGCTGGGAATTGAACTCAGGACCTTTAGAAGAGGAGGCAGTGTTCTTAACCGCTGAGCCATCTCTCCAGCCCAGTGTTGCTTTTCAAAACAGAGACTACAAGTAACTAGCGGGCATGGTGGGAATGCCTGTAAATCCCCCCATTCCAGAGGCTGAGGCAGGAGCTTCGTGGGTTCAAGACTAACTGGGGCTACATGGAAAACTCTTGTCTCAAAAGGGAGAGGGGATGCCAGCGGCCAGAACAAATAACATTGGGTGATATTGTTATTGAATTGTACTGTGGATGCTGTTGGCCTTTTCTTCAATTATAAGATTTCCATGCTCACATGCAGAGACATGTGTTCTTCTCTTTCAGTACGGCCCCTACTCCGACGTGTCAGAGATCACCACCGCCACAGGGCCCCCTGGGCAGTGCAGAGCTCCATGCATCTCCTTCACGCCAGATGGAAGCGTCTTGGTGGGGTGGGAGGTGAGTCAAGCACGCGCTGTCCGTCAGTTTCTGTTGTTTCTGCCTTCACCCACACACAAAGTTGACAATTGGGTGTATCACTTCCAGCTGTGCAAGTGGTCAGAGCTGAGAGGAAGCTGAGTGCCACCCTTCCCTTTGCGTGTGTTGGATGACCCTGGGCGTGCTGTCCCGCTTCCTCTCAGTGAGATGACTAACAAACGTGTGCCCTGCAGAGCCCGGAGAGCCCTGGTGCTGACGTCTCTGAGTACAGGCTGGAATGGGGTGAAGATGAAGAATCCTTAGAACTCATTTACCATGGTCCAGACACCTGCTTTGAGATCCAGAATCTGTTGCCTGCTGCCCAATATTGCTGCAGACTACAGGTAGGTGACTATCTGGACACTGCTCCCAAAGGCCAGTGTTCCCTGAAAGGCTGTAGGGGAGGATCACAAGGAGAAAGAATCCTCTGTGGACTGGGAGAGGGCTCCCTTGGAGCAGTGCTTACCACTCAGATATGGAGACATGAGTTCAGATCCCTGCAGAGTATAACACCTAGGTGCTATAATACTTTCTGGAACCCCAGCACTGGGGTGGATAGGCTAGATACGGGTGGGTTTCAGAGAGCTTGTGGTGCAACCAGTAACCAAACTGGTGAGCTCCAGCTTCAGTGAAAAACTTTGTCTCAGGGGAAGGCACCTGATGTTGGCCTGTCCCCTACACACATACACACACACACCACATAAACATACCACACACCACATACTGCACACACTGACACACACAGAGAGTGGGCACATCCACACATATACACAGATTCATAAACACACACATACCAGGTGATTTTATCTTTTCTAGGAGGTTATTACATGTAAAAGTCAAACCAGATTCTTCTCTGCTCTTCTCCCCAGTAGTGGTATCTTCCATACTGTTTTCCAGCACACTGGACAGGTGACCTAGAGCCAGCAGGAAGCTCTCCCAGTTCTTCATGAAAGATGTATTTGAATCCCACTTCTATGGGAAAGCAGCTCAGAACTGACATCCAGACAGGAAATGCATATATACACCAGTTGTTGAACTGAGCTATAAACACAGAAACAGATATTTCAGTCATTTGAGCTGGTCTCCTGCCTCATTTTCTTTCCTGTCGCTGATATAAGGGAAGGGTGTGTTCTGGCTTGCAGTTTAAAGGTGCAGTGAGCGCAGCGTAGCAGGGAATCGAGGCAGCAGGACTTGGAAGCAGCTGGTCATAATAATATCCAATCAGAAAGCAGAGAGCGGTGAACATTTGGTGAGGCTCAGTTTCCTCTGCACGCACACAGTCTAGGCACCACGCAGGCCTCCCCACCTCGCTGGTCCCCCCAGACATGCCCGTTTCCCTGGAGGGGTGGAGTATTTCCCATTGGCCATCATAAGCTTCAGTCTGGGAGCACAGAGTAACGCAGGCACCACGGTCCATAGCCTGCCCCTAAGAATGTGACTTGTCATAGGTGCCTTTACTTTATTCACTGGGGTTTCCCCTCCACAGACTCTTGGCACCCTAAGACTGTGGAGTCCTTGGTCTCCACTTCTTTCCATATTCAATAGCCCCCTTTTGAGCACTGTTTTCTTTGGGGTGAAAAGATGACCGGGAGAGCTACAGCCCTTGAGGCGGCCTGTCTCTGAGCACATGTAGATTTCATAGATAGAGAAGCAAAGATGGCAAGCTGACGGCCACCCCGTCTGTGTTTGGCCTTGCAGCAAATGGCGTGGTAGATGTGCACTTTGTATCCCTAGCCTTGTTATGGAAGATAATCCCTTTGTAAGTTAATTTTCCTGATAACCAGGGCTTTCCTCTTGACTTTGGAAGCCTGCTTCACCTTAAACATTTCTTATTAAACACCTTTGTTGGGCAGTGCCCTTCCTTTCTGTGTGAATGGACCAGCCGTCACGTCATTGGCGCTTTGTCCCTGAATCCACACGTCATCTGGTCTTCGTGCCAGTGAGGCTGAGGCACTGGGAAAGGGGACACTGAGTACCACACTGGGACAGGACCGGATTCCAACCAGAGCTGTCTGCTATCTCGTTAGCCCTCCCTGCCATGTGCTTCTTTAGCTTAGCTGTCTCACGAATACGTCCCCCTTTCTCCAGTGGGGTACGTATTCCCACTCAGACTGTTTTTAACAGGGAAGAGAATAGAGAGAGTGATCAGAAAGTGCCTGCAGGACAGCCCCGTGTGTCTGCCTTAGCAGCCAGGGGTAAAAACAGGCTTTTAAATATCAGTGCTTGTCATGAAATGAACTAGAACCTTTGACAGGAGAGTCAGCTGAAGAAATATCACCAGGAGCAAGTCTCTTCCATCCTTACTGACTTCTTGGTATCTGTGGATTACATAGAATTTACAAATTCCAGCCACTTGACCTTACTGTGTGGTCAAGTCAGCCCTGAATATTTGACATTCTAAAAGAATCCGTTCTCCCCATAACTCTCCTGTTTTCTAAAAAGTGATTTAAGACATTTTTTGTTTTTCTCAGGAATTTTTGTCTTGTTCCTTGGGATATTTTGATTAAGTGTCTTGGTTAGTGGTAAAACCCCAGCCATCCCCGACCATGCACACACTAATGAATAACCAGTAAATATTCACAAGAGCCGTTTGTACACGAAACCATAGTATTGCTTGCTCAGTAATGGATGCTTTTAAGTTTCCTTTGAAAAGTTTGAATCAGAAGTGTGTAAATCAAGAAAGAGTTTTCTACACAGCCAACCAGAGGGAAGTAGGGCAGCGGTCAGAACCCCTGGTAGAGAAAGACCACTGCTGGAAAGGTGTGGGATTTGAGTTAGGTCTGTGCGGTTTACAGCACTGTACCAAGGATAGTTTCTGGGATGTTCTTTCTTTTTTTTTTATTCTTTGGACTTATTTATTTTTATTTTATATGCATGGTTGTGTGCCTGAATGCTTGTGTATCACATGCATGCAGTGCCCATGTAGGCCTGAAGAGGGGCGATAGCTAGAGCTGGCTGTGAACTGTCATTTGGGTCCTGCCACTTGACAGGGGTCCTCTGGGAGTGTAGCAGTGCCTTAGCCACTGAGCCTCTTCCAGGCTCCAGCTGCTGGTTTTGATTGTTATCTCTGAGGTGTAGCTGTGGGCATTAGGGGAAGCATGGGAAGAGCTGAGCAGAAGCTAGTGTTCCGGCGGCTCTCCGTGAGTGCAGAGCTAGCTCAGAGAGTTTGGGAAAAGTTGGGGAACTGCTCCTCTGTTTGAGGCTTTTCCTAGTGCTTGCCCTTGTGGCTTTACCACCACATCACCGGTACAGCCCATGTGACCACTGGGGGAACACTCGGGCTTCCCCTCCCTCTGCAGAGAGGATCCCTGCGGTCATTGTATCTCAATTCTTCAAGTCCTGTGATAAGTTTATATCTAAATAAACTCTGTGGCATGCACAGGGCTTCAAGTTCAGTCCTCAGTACTACAAAAGAACAGAAATTAAATTAAATCTCAAGATACAGATTCTTGAAATAATTTGTTAAGCTATAGTTCTTGGGAAAAGGGGCAAAGGGGTTGGGATGAAGCCATACTGTCTTAAATTTCCCATGCAGCTTCTGTGGGAGTTCAGGAAAGCAAATGTCCCTAACCTGTCTTTTCTTTAGGGAATTCTGTTGTTTAATTAACAAGGAAAGAACTGTATGCTTTGTTTCAGGCCTTGGAAATTCAAATTTGCCTCTCTAGTTTCGTTGCTTGTGCTGACATACTCTCACGCGTAATCAAGAACTGGCTTTTATCACTTCCTTTTCTTTTGAAAAAAGTATCTTGTTGTTTTATATGTATGTTGTGCCTGTGTGTGTATGACACTGCATGGTGAATGTGCAGCACCCAGTGGAGGTGTCAGATCTCCCGAAACTGGAGGACCACGTATGTACAGGGCCAGTGGAAGGTGTCAGATCTCCTGAAACTGGAGGACCACATATGTGCAGGGCCAGTGGAAGGTGTCAGATCTCCCAAAATGTGCAGGGCCAGTGGAAGGTGTCAGATCTCCTGAAACTGGAGTACAGGCAGATGTGGTTGCTAGGAATTAAACCTTGATCCTCCGGAAAAGCAACCAGTACTTGCAACCAGAGACCATCTCTCCAGTCCTGAGATTCTTATTGCTATAAAAAAGTTGCCAAATATTTTATTCTTTGAAAGAGAATAATACTTTTATAAACACTTATGTAGTGCTTTATAACACGTATGGAACATGTCTTCCGTATCAGCTTCTGGTCGAGTTGTCAGAGGCGTTCCAGGCCCGCAGATAAACAAGCTCTGTCTATGCTAGTGATGAGGGCGATGCTGACATAGGATGCTAGCAAGGGCTTGCAGAGAAGTCTGGGAGGAAAGCCTCTGGACGTAAGAAACCACAAGGGCACCGATCCCGAGGTAGATGTCCGTGAGGACTGGCAAGGAAGTCGGCAGAGCCAGTGAAATTAAGAACAGTGAGCGATGAAAGCCAGGTGCTAATGGCGCTTTTGACGCGAGGTCACAAGCCTCAGATAGGGTCTCTGTGTGCTTCTGTAGTAAAGGGCTTCCGTCTCTGTTCTGGTAAGATGGATGCCATCAAAGAACTGAAAGTCCTGGAGGGGGCATAGTGGTTAAAAGCCCGTTGTTCCAGAGAACCCAAGTTTGATTCCCAGCATCCATGTCAGGTTGCTCACAGCCACCTGTAGCTCCAGCTCCAGGATGTCCACCTTCTTCTCTGGCCACGTGGGCCACCTGTACATGTGCCATGCAGTCCTCCACATAAAGAAAAGCGTAAAACCAGAGGAAGTCCTGACTTTTGTATTAGCATGTCCTTCTAATCACTGCAGGTCCAGACTCTAGGGTAGGGCCAGTCCGAGACCAGGGAGGGTGTCACATTGGCTAGAGAGGAGGTGGTTGCCCTAGGGTGACTTCAGGTGGTCTGATGGGCGGGACGTGGGTGACTGGGACATAGGTGCTCCCGAGAACTCTAGATACAACCTGAGCAGCTTGGAGGATAGGGAAGACGGCAGCTGAGGAACCTCCTGGGTGTTCGCAGGCAGTAGGGTACACATGCCACCCTAGACATCGGGGCAGAGGTGGAGAACAGTTAAGAATGACCCCTGACCTCCACATGCAAATGCATGTACACATACATGTACACACATACACACCCAAAAATTTAACATTGGCTAATGTGGAGGTACTGGCATGTGCTCATGCCATGATGTGACCTGGTGACACCCTTCTGTTTTCCAGGCCTTCAATCCAGCAGGTGCAGGGCCATATAGCGAGCTTGTCCACTGCCAGACACCTGCCTCTGCCCCTGACCCTGTGTCCACGCTGTGTGTCCTGGAGGAGGAGCCCCTTGATGCCCACCTGGACCCGCCCTCTGTGTGCCTTGTACTGAACTGGGAAGAGCCGTGCAATAATGGATCTGAAATCGTTGCTTACAACGTTGATCTCGGAGACACTAGCATTACTGTGGGCAACACTACCACACACGTGATAAAGGACCTCCTTCCAGAGACTACGTACCGGTGAGTGCAGAACACTGTGAGAAATCTGGCCCACGGTGTCAGTTCCAGGGCTGAGCATCTGTCCTAAGTTACTGTGTTCCAGACGTTCCTCTTTAACATCTTTAAAGGTACTAGATGAAATATAGTTTAAAGGCTTGTACTGCTTTCTACCTACAGTAGTGATACATTCCCACAATTCCTAGCTTCTGAGGGAGAATTTTGTTTCAGACTTGAAATCCCTTTCCCCTCTTGTACCTTTGGTTTCCCCTTTCTTCATATATTTTTCTCTGTGAGTCATGTGACTGCATACTCCATCCCAGGCCACCTTCCTGACAACCTTCAGACCGAACACCCTCATTCTGCTCACTCCCCCAGAGTAGACACGGGTTCATTCAGGATTTCACAGAGTTCCTCACGTGGGGGTGATCCCACTTGCCCGCTGTTTCTCCTAGCTAGCCCTTCACACTTTAAAAACACTTAGCACTCACTCAGAGCCACCTTGACTCAGGCAAAGCCCAGAGCTTGCAGCCATCAGGCATCTCACTGGGGGAGATCCAGAAAGCCTGTCTGGATAATCAAGTGTGGCCCAGCAGGAGCTCCTGCTTTGGGGCTCTGGGTTATCAGGTTGGCGGAGGGTCAGCTCAGGCTCGGGACCTGGTTGTCTTCAGGCCAGGTATCCCCGGGTCCCAACCTCTGTTAGGAGGAAAACAAGCCGTTTCCCAGGAGGGCATCAAGTAAGGAGGAAATGCGTGAGTATCAAGGTATCAGATGCTGACAACTGAGTCAGCAGCAGCACAGCAGTTGGCCAGCGGGCTGACGATCCTCCCACAAAAGTCCAGCTTCCTGGGGGCGGGGATGATAGCAAGCTCCTCCCACAGAACTCCTGCTTCCTGGGGGGCCAGGGATGATAGCAGGCCAGCAGCAGGCTGCTGCTTCAGAAGAAAATCTTCCATTTCCTGTGTTTTCTGCAGTGCTTTCTCATTCTCTAGTCTTTTTTTTTATTTATTAAAGATTTCTGCCTCCTCCCCGCCACCGCCTCCCATTTCCCTCCCCCTCCCCCGATCAAGTCCCCCTCCCTTGTCAGCCCAAAGAGCAATCAGGGTTCCCTGCCCTGTGGGAAGTCCAAGGACCACCTACCTCCATCCAGGTCTAGTAAGGTGAGCATCCAAACTGCCTAGGCTCCCACAAAGCCAGTACGTGCAGTAGGATCAAAAACCCACTGCCATTGGTCTTGAGTTCTCAGTAGACCTCATTGTCCGCTATGTTCAGCGAGTCCGGTTTTATCCCATGCTTTTTCAGACCCGGGCCAGCTCTCATTCTCTAGTCTTGAGAGTGTGTGTGTGTGTGTGTGTGTGTGTGTGTGTGTGTGTGCGCGCGCGCACGCGCGCGCACGCACATGTGGATACACATGTGTGTGCATGTGTGTACGTTATGTGTGTGCTTGTGTGTTCATGCTTCTAGAAACCAGAGGGATCTAGCTGGGAGGCAGAGGCAGGCGGATCTCTGTGAGTTCGAGGCCAACCTGGTCTACCAGAGCTACTTCCAGGACAGGCTCCAAAGCTACAGAGAAACCCTGTCTCGAAAAACCAAAACCAAAACAAAACAAAGCAAGCAAACAAACAAAAAACCAGAGGGATCTTTGATGCTGCTCTTCCTCAGGTAGTCCCACCTTGGTTGGTTTGGGATGGTTTGGTTTTTGTTTATCGTTTTGGTTTTAATTTGATTTTGTTTGGTTTGAGACTATGTGGTCCTGACTGGCCTGGAACTCAGTATGCAGACCTGCTGGCCTTGAATTCAGCGATCTGTGTGCCTCTGCCTCCTAAGTGCTGGCATTAAAGCCCCCCAGTCCTGGCTTCTTAGTCTCAGGTGGCTGGCCAGCAAGCCCTCATCCACTCCTCTCTACCTTCCCTTTGCTAGGATTACAAGACCTTGCCATATATTTGGCTTTTTTTACATAAATTCTGACACTGGAACTCAGTTCCTGATGCTTGCAGGGCAAGCAATTTGCTGAGGAAGCTGTCTCCAGCCCTAGGCTCTCCTTGTTGCCAGAAGCTAAAGAAGGAGGCAGCTCAGCAGCTGTGAGGTCCAGATGTTCCATCCTGGCATTTCTTATCTCCCAGCTCTCTTTCCAAATACCTCTTTTCTGAGTAATTCATAAACCAGTTTTGCTTTTCAGAGCGGTGGCAGACTTTTCCTTGTTTGTTTTCAACATGCTCATCGCTCATCGTGTTGAGGACCCTCTTGCCCACAGCGTGCCTGGCAGACTTAGAGCGCATGTGAAGATTTCAAGGCCACTTAAGCCACAGTTTTAGAGAATGGGTGACCATCAGTGCAAGGAGCAAGTCCCTTGGTTCACTGTAGTCACGCTAAATGACATAGGTGGCAGTAGCGATGTCTGGGGCTGGGGCTCGACATGGAGTCCTTGCTTAGAATGCGTGCAGCCACGAGTCCCATGCTTAATCCTTAGACACACACAAAAGTGGGACCTCAGGTCAGAACTAAATAAAGGGGAACATGGCTGGTGAGATGCTTGCTCAGCTGGTGAAGCTGTTTGCCTCAGGAGTACATTTGGATGCTGTGCATGGAAGTCTAGTCAACACAGAACTGTGTGCTGCTGTCTCAGAGACAGTCAGAACAATTATAGTGAGTCTTGCCACTGTTTGCAAACAAACCTAAGGGCTTCATTTTGGTCTGGTCAACTTTCCCTGACCTTTTTCTGTCCCATAAATTGGTTAAAATACAGCTAAGATGATCAGCATGTGTGAAGTTTAGATAAAGGCTTGTGTCTTTATTTTTTACTTTTATTTTTAGTATTTTTACATGTCTTGCCTGCATGTATGTCTGCACAGTGTGCATGCAGTGCCCATGAATCTGCTGGAGTTTTAGACAGTTGTGACCTTCCATGTAGGTACTGAAAATAGAACCTAGGTCCTCTGGAAGAGCAGCCAATGCTCTTAACCACTGAGCCATCTCTCCAGCCCCTTTTGTTTGTTTGTGAGTATAGGAGTTGCATGTTGTCCTCTCTAGACTGCATCTGTAATGACCCTTGGGACAGAAATCAGCGTTCCAACAGACCCCTCTCCTCGCTGCTATCAGAACTGTCTGGTAAGGGTTTGCTGGCACAATCTATATTTGAAATTTGGCTGGAATTAAAAAAAAAACAATTGTTAAAAGTATTACATTTAAGTTTAGAACTGTATCTGAAATTGAATTTTGCTTTGGATTGCAGAGAAAATGGAAAACAGGTTTCCTTTGTACATGCCCTGCCAAGTAGAGTCACAGACCATAAGCAGAGAGACTTGGGGGTCACCTGGTGACACCTGTCCTGTCCTGGGTGCGAGCAGCTCCCTGACCTTGCCAGGCAGTCCAGCTCATCCCTTGAGCTTATCAAAGCCTCTTTGTATCCAAAGACGCTCTTCCAGCGGCGGTTCTCAGAGCTAGCAGCAGTAGTGGCTCCCGAAGACCCATGAGAAGGAGCAAAGGATCCGGCCTAAGCCCAGGCCTGGGAAATAGTGAGGTAACCGCAGCTCAGAAAAGTAAATCCAGGAGGCTGTCGCTCAGAAGTGGGACCTCAGCTTCTCAGGTTTATATGGAGTGAGTGGGTAGATGCCAACACAGAAAGGGGCCCGTAAGAAGGGGAGAAACGAGCCGTATGAGCCGGAGCTAGAGCACATGATAAAGGAAAAGAGAAACCACTGGAAGTACAGAAGTCTGGGTGCAGGAAGATGGGTCAGCAAAAGAGAGTGATGGTGCAGAGAAAGGATAAGCATGGCATGGTGGCATGTGCCTTGTATCCCAGTCTAGAGGTGGGGACAAGTGAATCTCTCTCAGTTGGAAGCCAGCCTGGTCTACATAGCAAGTTCCAGGCCAGCCAGGGCTACCTCATAGGTCTCTGCCTAAACAAACAAACAAATAAAAAGAGTAAACTGAGATAGTTGTTGAAGAAATGGCTCAGCAGTTAACTGTTCTTGTGAGGACCCAGTCAGCTCCAGTAGCCACATCAGATAGCTCACAGCCATCTGTCCTGTGTAATTCAGCTTCAGCAAATCAGTGCCCTCTTCTGGGCTCTGCAGGCATCCGCAGATACGTGGCATACACATTAACTAACTATAAATTAGAACAGGAAAGGAATTTTAAATAAAATTTAGGCTAGCAGTATGGCTCAGCAGGCAGAGGTGGCTGCTGCCAAGGCTGCCGGCCTGTGTTCAGAGCTAATGTGGTGGAAGGAACTCTAGTGAATGGTTCTCTAACTTCCGCTGTGGCGTATTTGCAGAAATGCTCTCTCTCTCTCTCTCTCTCGCTCTCTCTCTCTCTCTCTCTCTCTCTCTCTCTCTCACACACACACACACACACACTAAATAAAGGTAAAAAGTTATTATGTAAGAGATTTTAAGGATGAGATAGTAAGGATGATGCGTCTTGGTCACGGAGCTTGGCCCTGAGATGGCGCACTGTCGTTTGCAGTCTGGAGGACAGGTAGCATTGTTGTCATTTAGGAAGTACACCGAGGCACACAGATCCCGGGCAGATTTGGAACTGGAATCCAAACTCCTTTCTTCCACGTACAGAAACTTTCCTGTTCCCAGCTCTTTATGGCAAACTACAACTTCAGGACCCTAGGCTGGTTGTCTGTGGGTCATGGGTAAAACTTGGTGGCAGTCATTAATGAGAGCAGTGTCCTAGAAAATAGTAAGTCTGGCGTGGGATCTGAGTGCCGGTTTAATTAGCCCTCCATGAGAAGCGTGTGTAAGTGAGAAAACCTCTGCCCTGGAATGTACACGCATGTGCAGGTTGAGAGGGGAGGTGCCTGAGCCCCACTCCTGTAAACTGAGCCTCAGTGGGCCTCATAATGGCAGACACCCGGTGTCTAGCCCCTCATCAGCCCTCTCTTGCCTAGCATGGCTTCCGTGGCCTCCTTCATTATCCCCTCTGACAGCCTGTCTCCTGGTGGCCTCCCCGTGCAGCAGTGATCTGTGTGGCTTGCAGGGGGCAGGGCTGCAGACGCCTCTCTCCGTCCTGAA